CTTTTGCAGAGTTCCTGGATCATGCTAGGCACTCAGCAAGTAGTAATTAATACTGTCGGTAGCAGTTGTTCATCCTGCTGCGTACACTACATCTTTGTTACCTTTTCCAACCTAGTCTTAAGTTATTTAAAACTCATTAGCAATCATATCACACTTCCTGTGAGTAGTCTTTCCTGTCTACAGCCAGTTGTGTGTTGATCACAATCCCCCATCCCTCCATCTGTTGTGGGCCTGTGTGTAATTTCAAAATACTGTCATAATTCATATGCAGTACTTTTTTACCAGTCAGAGCCTTTTCATTATTCTTGTTGCTGTTTAATGAATTTAAAGTTGCTCCCAAGAGAATCATTTGTATATAGCACTCATATTTTTAGCTTGGTCTCAATATTACTTTTCCAAAGTTTCTGTACTCAAACAGTTCCTCATTAAGAAAAGTTACAAACTCGTATTATTTAAAGCAAGTTGTTTTGGATGTTGACAGAATTTGTTTATTCACTTGGATATTTTAATATCATTCTAGGAAAAATTATGATCTCTCTGGAAGTGAAGTGTCTTATAAATACCATTCTGTTTGCTGTCGGGAGAGCTGTAACACACGGATGCCAAGTCCAAGGGTTTCTACACTCTGTACCAGATTGTCTCATTCAGAGCCCAGTTCTGCTCCTAACTACCTATTTAAACTTTGGCCAAGTACTTAATTCCTCTGAGCCTCCACTTCCTTGTCTGTAAAATGAGGATAAAATGGCACATACCTGAGAAGATTGTGGTTAGGATTACATGAGTTAATACGTGTAAAGTGTTCGGTGCCTGGAGCGTAGTAAGTTCTGTGTAAGTGTGCGTGGTGGTTGCTGGTGTAATCATTACTTCTCTTATGCTCTGCGTTTGCCATGGAAGTTTCTCACTTGATTTTAAACCTTTGGGTTCTAGAGATTTTTGTTTATTTGTTTAAGGTATTTATTAGTATCCTTTTAAATACAAAATGATTTCTTTATATGCTCTTGGACTAAATCCTTCTGGCCAGGTGATAGTGGAAAGCTATGCTTATCTCTGGAGATTCTATTTTTAAAACTGAGTCTTCAGCCATCTGAGTCTATTTTGATCCAATGTTTTTTCCCCCTGGCAACCAATTTTTTTCCTCCCTAGATTACAGCAGGCACCTCTGAAGCCTTCTCCATCACCTCCCTTGTGTCTGTTATAACCCTCTTCTGTCCTCATTTGATCCCCATCAGCTATTAGAGTGGAGAGGGGTCGGGGGCTGTTTTTCCCTGGACCCTGTGCTGCCTGACACCTAGTAGGTATTCAGTAAATGTTGAATTTATGAGTTACGTAGTGTTTTTGATTTTCTTCTCCCACATTACATGTAATGCACATCTTATTTGTTCTTTATTTCTGCATATAAATTCAGCATTATTTGTAGTAGTTTAAGCAATATTGGTAGTATTTCAAGTCTGTTTGGAGTAAACTTCTACTTTTTGGAATCCTTGAAGGTATGACCTTCATTCATTGCCAAAACTCTTATTTTATGTTTTGTATCCATTTCTAAAAAGTCAGCAAAGTAAACAATGGTGTTAAAATTGGCATTGGCCTGATAAAATACACATTTTGCCACCTTCAAAGTAGAAAGGTGCTGTCCTACAATTTTGTTTCTTATGCTGTCTCCAGTGCTCATATGAGCTCTGGAGAAAATGTGTTTTCTCCAAAAGCACACAGATATATTTGCGAACATTCTAGCATTTAACTGGGGGGAGTGGGGGGAATAAACAAATACTATGCTGAATGGCAAAACTATCTTTAGGAAGCTGTTTGTGGTAAAACCTTTTTTTTAGCCCATCTGCTTCCATAAGTGAAGTTACAAATATCTATTTGATACCTGCACTTTTAGTCCAGTAAGTTTACTAAATACACTCTCCAAGTAACTGTTCTCATTAGTCGGTTGGAAGGAAATGTTGGAGTCCTCAGACACCACACATTATTATATATCTGACTTGTTAGGTACTTAGCATAGTTGGGTGTCTGACTTAAGAAAAGTTGTTAAAGTTGACAAGCAGGGCCATATATGCCTTGGTTTGTATATGGGGCCTCTTCTCCATATTTGAAGCCACCCTCTTAAACCTCCAGGTGTGTTTTCAGGGGGAAGGAATCGAGAGTGGAAGATGGGTAGTAACTTTGTTGCTGTTCTTTCAGTTGTGGTACATTTCATCATCCATAAAAATGTCATGCTGCCATCAATAGGTCATACTATTCTAACCACTGTAATTTATATGTTCAAGGGGTCTGTTTTCTCATCATTATTTGCAGTACCTACTGTTATGTTAGAGGTCCTACCCAGTGCAGTAAGACAAGAAAAAGTAATGAAGGGCAATAACCCAAATTGAATAGGAAGAAGTAAAACTGTTTTTATTCATAGACAACATGATCACCCATGTAGAAAATTTGATGACATCTGCAAAGATGCTGCTAGAGCTGATAAATTTAGCAGGGTTACAGGATGCAAGGTCAGTATGGAAAAAATCAATTGTATCTCTGCATATTAAGCAACACACAATTGGAAACGGAAATTTTTTTAAAAAGCAATAACATTTATAATAGCATCAAAAACATGAAATACTTAGGGATAAAGCTGACAATACACGTGCAAGACCTGTATACTGAAAACTACAAAACAGTGTTGACAGAAAGCAGTGGAGGCCTCAGTAAATGGAGAGATGCCACATGTTTATGGGGCGGAGAACTCACTATTATTAGCACCTCTGTTCTCTCCAGAGTGATTGATAGATTCATTGCAACGCAGATCAAAAACTCAGCAGGCTGTTTTGTAGGAATTGATAAGCTGATTCTAAAACTCCCATGGAAGTGCAGAGAATCTAGGATAGTCACAAAAGCTTTTGAAAAAGAACAAAGTTGGAGAACTAACACTACCTGATCTCAAGATTTATTTTAAAGCTAACGTAGTCAAGAAAGTGTTGAATTGGTATCAGTATAGGTCTGTAGATGAGAGCAAAATAGAGAGTCCAGAAATTGATCCACACATCTATGGGCAACTGATTTTTGACAAAACTGAAAAGGCAGTTCACTGGAGAAGGGGTAATCTCCAGTTGCTGGGACAATTGCATATCCATGTATCAAAACGAAACAAAACAAAAGAACTTCAATGCAAACCTTGTTGCTTACCTAAAATTCAACTGAAAATGGTAGACTAAATGTAAAACCGAAAGACATAAAATTTCTAGAAGAAAACATGAGTGAAAAATCTTTGTGATATGAGTTGGGCAGAGATTTCTTAGATATATCACCAAATGCAAGATCTGTTAAAGGATAATTTGGACTTGAAAATTAGATCTGTTCTTTGATGGACACTATATGAGGCAACAAAGCAGAGACTAGGAGAAAGTAATTTGCAAGTGACTTGGAGGTAGAATATATATAAAGGACTCTCAAAACTCAGTAAGTAGAAAAATGGACAACCCAATTAAAATGTTTGAAACATGAGGGACATTTCACTACAGAAGATACGCTATGCATGGCAAAAATGTACCTGAGAAGACAGCTCAACATCATTAGTCATTCTAGAAGTGCATACTAAAACCAGGATGCTACATACCAGTTTAAATGGTTAAATTTTAAAAATACTGACAACACCAAGTGTTAGCGAGGATATAAAGAAACTGGAACTGGTCTGACTGTAAAATGGTACAACCACTTTCTAAAACAATTTGGTAGTTTCTTAACAAGTTAAACATAAACCTGCCATGTGGCCTAGCCATTTCACTCGCAGGTATTTCCACAAGAGAAATGAAGGCATGTGTCTGTATGAAGACATGAATATAAATGTTCATAGCAACTGTATTTGTAATGGCCAAGTGCTGGGAAAGTCCCAGATGTGCATCAGTTGGCAGATACATGAACAGATAATGATACAGCTACACAATAGAATATTACTTACCGGGTAAAAAGGAATGAACGGGTAATCTCCACAAAACATGAATGAATTGTACAAAAATTCTGAAGGAAAGAATTCTGGTTAAAGACATGAAGGTATAATTACATCAGTATAAAGTTCTGGAAAGGCACACTCACCAGAGAGATCAGATTGTTCAGGGGGTGGCAAGGCCAGGCAGGGAAGAGGGACGGCAGAGGGATGCAGGAATACTTTTTTGGAGTGACGGATATGTTCACTGCCCTACTTGTGATGATTTCACGTGTATGTGTGGCAAACTGCATGCTTTAAATACGTGTAGTTTATTGGATATCAGTTGTATCTCAGTAAAGCTAAAAACAAAGAGTGCAGGCTGTGCTGTTAGAAAGCCTTGCGGGGAGAGGATCAGAACAGGACCCACCTCTAAGGGTGGTTGTGAGGACTGGGTTTCAGTACTGGTTCAGAGATTAGACCGGGGTCTGACTCAGCGCTGTTCACCATTTGACATGCCTGTATCTCGTTGTCTGCTAGATCGTAAACTCAGCAAGCAAGGCCCCGTGTCTCTGCCGTCCTTTTGCCCAGTTTGAGACTCAGCACGGGTATTTATTTGTGTGATCCTCCGCTTACTACATGAACAGCGCAAATAGTGTTCTGACGAACTTTAAATTGATAAGTAATGGAATTAGCATCCTTCAGACGTGCAATATGGAAAAAGATTGAAAAAAGAACTGCGGACTTTGGTATATACTGCTCTGGACTGATTTGTGAATTATGGTATTTGTATGTTAGAGTTATATGGGAAATATTTAAAATGTTACATGCATATAAATGTGTGTGTGTGTGTCTGTCACACATATTCCCTGAAAATGGTTTCCTTTGAGCACTCTAATGTAGCTGTCACCCTCGTTCCTTTGGCTTATTTTAGAATGCAGTTAAGTCCTTGGGAAAGTCACTTATGTCACCAGTGAGGAATGCCACCAAAATAGCTTCTCACTTAAGTTCCCATCCCCAGAGCTAACCCACAGGAGGTTCCGATAAATTCAAATATTTAATAACTTGTATTTTTCTTTCTCCTTCCACACAGGCCCTCTGGTCCTGGAGGCAGGATCATGTGGTGGATTCTTGGCAGTCAGCAGTCTGTGGAGCTTTTGCAGGTGCAAAGGATTATATTATACTGGGAAAGACCAAAGACGGGGAGAAAAATGTGAAAATATTAACTATGCAAAAACAACATTCTTTAGAAATTCCAGATTGTTTAGAAGAGAGTTCCACCAGTTGTTTGAGAAAAGAAAGAGTCCTGGGCGGGGGTGGGGGTGGGGGAAGACCTGCTAAAAAGGTGTCCACTAGAGAGACAGCCGGTTTGTTTTTGACAGATTTTTTATTTACTTATTTTTATTGAAGCCTTCACTCAGGCCCCTGGATTGTCTTCCAGATGGTTTGGCGAGGCCTCTGGGGGAGGAGAGGGGCTGTGGGCGCAGGACTCCCTGTGCAGCTGTCTGCCTTGAGCAGTGCTTGCGGGGTCTCAGCCACTCCTGCAGAAAGCAGTGATTCACGGTGTGTGTGACACGTTTGACAGCGCTGTAGATTAACTAGTGTAAGGAGGGCCGAGGCTGCTGCACAGCTTACTGAAGGCTAAACTGCTCAGTGTAGAAAATACAGAGATGTAAACACCTGGGCATTTTCTAGACGTTAAACTGAGAGCAAAGTGACAATAGCAATAGCATGTTACCCATCACTTAGTCATGTGGATGTTCCAGTGAGGTTTTAATGAGAGCTCAGAAACTTGAAGGAATTTAATGTAATAAAGCGATAGGTGTAACAGTCTAAGAGAGATTTAGATTTTGTTGCAAATAAAGGTAAGTGAGAATTATAGTTGAAATGAAATGGAGATGCGGCAGAAAATTGTACACTGCTAGTTCCTGTGTGAAGCCAGTAAACTGGCAGATGTGTGGCTTTAGGATATCAGCCTTGGTAGAAAATAACTCGTTTCCCGTTTGTTTCATGGCCATTGGATGGTCTTTTTTTTGTTGAGTAGGAAAACAAAACACACATTTTATAGGGTTCTTTATTAATAATGGGACCCATCTGACTTGCAGAATTGATAATCCACAGTAAGACTCTTGCCTCTAGACATGAAGGCAGCTCAGATTGATTATGACGGGTAATTGTTTCCACATGATGCATAGTCCTCATAGCTGTGTTAAACGGGTAGGTGGCCTTGATTCGTTTGCCAGAGGTCTCGTGTCTTTACTCCCCAGTTCCGGAGAGAAATGTGCAGTTTTGTTGACTCCCTGCTGGGCCCTGGGGACAAAGTGACCATTCTGAAAATTGAGTGATCCTAGATAAGGAAGGCCTCTTCCTAAAACTAACATACTGTAGAACTTCCATGTGTTGGGAGATAAATACAAATATCCTTTGGTTCCTTAAGTAGCTAATTCAGAGATTTGCATGCAAATTCATTGTTTGTATTAAGGAAATGTGCATTCATTACAATTCCTTTTTTTGAATAGTGCTTTGTAATACTAGGCATTTAGTTTAGTCAGAAGAGGAAGGGAAAGAAGAAACTTGCTATCAGACGTTCAGCGTTTGGCAGTTAAGGTGGCTCACCTGAGGAGCGCAGCAACCCCGCACTGTCCTCCCAGGGCCGCGGGGAAGCTGGGATGCAGGACGGGGAAGGGGTTTGCCCAGGGCCACAGATGTGGTGCTGGCTGACCTGTCCGAGAGCTGTCAGATCTCTGTTCTGTCCCCAACTAAGGGCTGAGACCGCGGGGCCTTACTGAGCAGCAGTTTCCTTCCTCATCACGTAGAAGCAACCCTCCCTCTGTTACGGGATCATTTCTGGGATAGGTGAGATAATGTGTTAGTATTTTGTAATCGTTAAAACTGAATTTAAGGAATTATTACTAGCTCACTAAAAACAATCAGCACCCAGAAAATGAAAAGCTGTCATCACCACAGTAATTCATACTCTTAATTGCACTGAAAAAATAACATTAATAAACTTACTATACATAATCCTTTCCTCTAATAGGGTGTAGATTTCCAGACCCCTCCAGTACAATTATCTTACTTTTCCAGCTGAGGTTCTGATAGGAATTCGCCCAAGGGCTGCCAGAAAAAATCGATTGTCAGTAGATCTACATGTGTATTTAGCAAAAGATAAAATACCTACGTTTCTTGAAATTTTAGTTGGGATAAATTTTGATCCTGAGGAACAAGTGTATTATTTTAAAACCTTTCTGAAAGATAATCACAGTTTGAAAGTATTCCAAATTGTGAAAAAGTGATACTCTGTAAGAGTTTGTTGCAAGACTGTGCATTGCACAGCATAGAGAAATGAATTCTGACTTGCCACCTTGGGCAGCCCCTGAGATCTGCTTACCCTCTGCACTTTCAGGCGTTTTAGCCTTAATGGCCAGAAAGGCAGTGATAACACTTGCCCTTGAACCGGAAATCTGATTTCTCATCCTTGTGTGCTTTTGCCAGGTGTAAACTGGTTAATCATCGTGGGCGAACTGCTCCCTGGCCGTCCTCGGCACTCTCCGGTGCCCAGGCTTGCTTTATAAACCACTGAGCGCAAACATCCGAAAATGTCCCTTGAGACTGGAGGTGTTGATGGCTTGTCATGCTCAGAAGTTCCCTTGGCTTCTGGTCAGGGGTTAAATTAGGGGGGGAAATGGACTTTGCCAACTTCCTCACTTCAAGTTAACTTCCAAACATGAAACCATCGTTCACTCTAAGTAATTACGACATCTGCTACTACAGTGAGATCTGCTGTGCTAGTGTTCTTTGATCAGTTTGTTATAATGAACACTTAACTAACATTCTCTAAGAGAGAAGGAGGGAGAGAGAGCGAGATCTCCCCCCATGGCTTGAAATTCTAAACTAGGGTGAAGGATTATCTGCGTAACAAATGACAAGGCCTGATGCAGTCTTTAAAACACGTAAGAAAACAACGTTTGTTGCTGCTGCTGTGGAAGCCCTCCGAGTCTGGGCGCTTGTCTGGAGGTGGTAGGTGGGGACGCTCTTCTTGCTCCCAGCGCGTCTAGGGGGGAGGGGAGGCCCTGGAGGGACAGTGAATGGCAGCACTGCCCACTGCTGCCCCCACCGCGTTCACAGCTGCTGTTGGAGGTGACAGCTCTGGGCCTCTGGTAGGAGAGTGGCCCCTTTGTCTGGGGAAGGCAAAGAACCTGCATTTGTCCCCTAAGGACACTTAAGATGCAGTCTCATCGTAAAAGTCTAATTTCCCCGAATCTGGTCCTTGAAAGCAGTTAGCTTAACATTCAGTAAAAACCTCACTCTGGTGGAACCCATAGAAAATTGTTTCACGTGTGATTTGAGCACTAAATGAGCCTGCAGTTGCTGTACCAAGTAATTATTTCCTGTCTAATATGTTAGCATGTTCCTTGTATTTGTTACCGGCGGTTTACAGTTCCCTTAAGTAAAATGTAGAAAATAACTGCATTTTAAATGAAAATACAGGTCCCCTGCCCCCTCCCCACTATGACCAGTCACCCTACGGCATGATCTTCACAAGTCCTCCTTACGGCCTCATAAAAAGCATTGTGAGGCCTGTGAATTAAAGCAGTCTTTGATATTTGAAGACATCTGAACTGACTTATTAATAACGTTCATAAAATACGGTTTCCATCATGGTAGTAAAATTAGGGCCGATTTCAGCATATGTGTTTTTGTCTAACTTTTCTTTATAATACTTTCCCGAAACAGAAATCACTGGGAGAATATTGGCAGGCGTCTCCAGTAAAGGAACAGTGAACTTTTGCTAATGGACAAAAATAAGTTCGGTTTGCAGTATCCAAGTTTAGCAGGAGGCAGATACTTTGCAACATAGGTAACTCGTGAGAGCTTGGGTGGTCAGACGGGGACAGATGATGTCCTTGTCTATTTTTAAGTCTTTTTAGTTGGTTTAGGTCAGTTTGTGAACATTTTCAAATAGGAAAATGGTGTATGCACTGCTGAATGTTGACAATCAGACAAATTTGAATGTGTCTTAATCAAGTATCAGAGTCACCATGTAGCAAAAGAGCACGACTTTTGGGGCCAAGATACGCATGACTTTGTGTCTGTGTGGCCCTGGGCAAGCTGTCTTTCATATGGAACAGCGATTCCCGTGCAAGTGAGCTAAAGCAACCAGTGGGTATCCCAGCGCAGCCCTAGAGTGCCCCAGGAAGGAGGCCCAGGAGTTCCTAGCTCCATTGTAGGGGGACAGTGTGAAATCTTCAGTCTGCAAAAACTAAAGTCGCTTGTCCAGGACACCCAGTAGGCACTTTTGAGTGCCTTCTGTTTTCTGTTGGGCTGAAGACGTGAAGGAAAATCTCAGACCCTCTCTGTCTGATTACTTGGAGCGCTAGCGTGAGCCAGGCCCAGTCCTAGACACTTGGCCTGCGCTCGCTCACTCTGGGTCCCAGCGCCGTGTGAGGCCAGTGGGGGGCCCAGCGGCCCAGAGATAGGTCCTAGAGGCTGTCAGACAAGTTCACGTCTCAGCTGGGCCCTGAGTAGAACCTTCTACGGCTTGTTCAGCCCTTCTGAGCCTCAGTGTCCCCACTGGCAGCATAGGGCAATGAGAGTACCTGTCTCCTATAGGACTTTAACCAGAGAATAAGAACTTAACTGAAGGCCAGTCGACTCGTAGAGCAAGGGGTTAAGGCCTGGTCTTTGTGATTCTGAAGGTGAGTTCTTTCAGGCGGGGCTCTGCTAACCCTTGCAGCCAGTAAGGGAAACAAAACTGAATGTCATATTTGGGGTGGAAGTTTGGGATATTACAGGTTTATTCTTTCCTTTTTTCCTTTCTTCCTTCCTAAGGATTAAACAATAAAATGTTTATGGATGTGAAGTCTTCCCTAACCCTTTCCTATAATGAAAAGGATAGGATATTTACTTCTTTAGGGCAGAATGTGTGATTAAAAAAACCCAAAAAGAGTTAGGATTTCAGAATTGGGTTCACAGAATTTTAAAATACTTGGAGTTTAGCAAGTCTGTGAATCTCAGGCAGCTTTTCACTTTGGAGGACAACGTCACATATTCATAACACACAGGTGGCTAAAAGAAAAGGGACTTTAATACTCACGTATATGGTTATTTACTCCTTAGGCCTAAGGTCTGTTTTGTTCACGAGTAAGCAAAAATGGAGCATAAAGGGCATAAATGGGTACATCTTTGCAAAAGTCAGCGTCATAGGAAATGTTACCAAACGGAGGAGGTTCAGTTAAATGATCTTAGTTCAGCAACATATTTAGAAAGATACTTGGCAGAGATCAAATGGCCTTCTTGTCCACACACCACAAACCTCAGAGGGAAAGTGCTGTTTCTGGAGCGCACCTCACACACGCTGTGTTCAGTGCTTAGGAAACTGCCCATTTCACTCTGGCGCGTGGAAGCCGAACCTTTAGAAAGCCCTTGTGGTTTCTGTTTAAAAAAAAAAAGCTAGTCCTCCCATTCCTCTTTCTGCAGATATGGACCCCTTAAAAATGTGTGGATTTAAAAAAAATACCAGTTTGGCAGTTATGGTATTTAAGTAAAAAGGACAGGAGAGAAAAGATAGGAAAGAAGCTGTAAGGAAGAGTGTGGGCTTGAATCAAGACTGACTCTCAAGATTCAGAAGTTAAGTTTAGGAATCTTGTTCCTCTAACTCACCTGGTATCAGAAGCCTGGAAATACAGAGAAATTTACTCTTTTAACCCTAAGCATCTAGCGACTTATACCAGGAATCCCCACAGTGACTCACGTTTCTGTTTGCCAGTTTGGCCTCAGAGCAGGACCCACAGCAGCATTTGGGCGTCAGGTTGGAGAACGGTGGCCCACGAGAGGCGTGGAGCCCTGAGACTCGGGGAGCAGTTGCTCACACTGAGGAGGGGCTGTCTGACCATAGACGTTTCCCCTACATACACACGTGGGCTTGTCTGTGGCTCCAGGGCGAGCAAGATAGATCGTGGGGCCTTGTTTTTCTTGTTTGTCTTGCCTGCGTGTGTAAAGCATTACCCTGCACACGCAGTTCGGCATCACTGCAAACGCAGTGGAGCACGTGCTTCAGGTTTTGCACGTGTGCATCCCGTTCTTGAATCAGTCAAGTGGACATAATGATCCAGAAGTATTTTCGGCAGAGTTATGAGGAATTCTAAAAGAAAAATTATAAAACCCTGTGTAATGCAGTGAACAATACCTCACTTGTGTGCTGGGTATTTTTATACGCACAGGTGGCTTTGCAGCTGCAGTCACCACGCCTCTGGACGTGGCAAAAACAAGAATCATGTTGGCTAAGGTGAGTGGTAAAATAGCATAACGCAGACCCAGCAGATGCTCGTGTCTGCACTGGGGCTTTGCATGTCTGTAGAGTGAACAGGAGCGGGGTGACACCTGTAACTAGCAGCCTTGCGCTGCCTGTGGAAGCAGAGAAGAAACTGCCACTGGACAGAGCGGGTCCCGCGGGAATCGCTGTGGCCGCTGTCTGGGTAGCGTTGTAGTTTTTCGACATCATCTTCATTGACATTTTGTGAGCAGGTAAGACTGGTAGAGCCTCTGCCTGGTGATAGTTTTCCTATCATCTCTGTTTTTACTGGTGACAGACCTCAGAGGGATTTGGTCTGCCTTGTGCCAGGCAGCGTGTACGCCCTAGGCTCTTGAACTTCCACCACTATGCCTTCATCAATTAGGACATTTTTCAAAATTGTTTTTTAAAAAATGTCGTTAAGAAAAATAGGTTTCAAAAAAGCTGGCTCTAGGCTTCAGGGATGCCATACCTATAACACATCTGGATCAAAACAATAAAAAGAAGTCACACCCTTGTGGAAAAGTCAGACAAATAAGGGCAGAATTGTGAAACAGGGAAAAAGCCTGTTGTAAATTGAACATAGTACTCTGTATTTAATGTGTTTATTGGCCACTTAGACAAGTTTCATCATCGTACCGTTTGTACTGATTATTCCCCATCCTGCTCAGATCAGTACTGCTTTCAGTCTTTTTCCTGTTAAACAGTTGGATGTGAATTATCCGAGTAAGCTCTGCTCATTGGTGAGAGAAATAACCTAGAAAAGCCGCTTCCAGCGGGAAGTTGTCCAAATCAGGGCTTGCTTGTGGGTTTGAATGTAAGGACTGACGTGTGTGTGAAGCTGCGTGCTAGCTGAGGGTGGTGGGCAGCCGTGCGTCCGCGGGTCCCTGACAGCCAGCTGTAGGGGGAGGGCGGTTCACAAGGTGATGGCTTTCTCTTTGTCTCTCCACGCAGGCCGGCTCCAGCACTGCCAGTGGGAACGTCCTCTCTGCCCTGCACGGAGTCTGGCGGACGCAGGGGCTGTCAGGGTAAGGCCAGGAGGGGGGGGCCAGCTGCCTCCGCTTCTCCCCAGCTCTCCCTCCTTTAGCCCGGCTTCGCAGGAACACCATTCCTTCCTTCTGCTTCTGTCCTGGTTGGGATCGTCTTTATTTTTCTTGGACAAAACGTTAGATTTGATGTTGCTTATGTGAGGTACTGTTGCACAGTCAAGTTGATGTCACATTTGAGCCGGGTGATTCCCATCCCGACGTCCACATGTATGGCCGCTGCTGGGTTCTGGGCTGCAGCAGGAAGAAAACCGGCTTCCGGTGTAATTACAGGAGTAGCACGTGAGTGAGCATTTGTGTTTGGGGGCAGTTTTTACAGTTACTAGTTACCCCTTTCGACATGCCACAGTGCACGAGACCTCCCATGAAACCCAGGGTTCTGTACTATCAGCCGAGCGCTTCAGACCTCTAGCATCAGGTCCCGCAGAGCTCCCTTCAGAATGCTGTTTCAACACTGCTTTTCCGACGTGAGCCTGTACACCTGGGGAAAGGCCGGGATCTAGACAGAAGGTACGACTCGCTTTGGGATCATCTACCAGGGATTTTCCTGAGAGAGCAGAGCAGCAGCCTCCTCCTGGGGACGGTGGGGGGAGCCTAGCGACAGGCCTGGTGTGAAGCAGCAGCGCTGCTGCGGCGCCACCCTGTCTTCCCCGCAGCGCGTCGCTCGTTCACTTGACTGTGGTTTTCTGTGCATCTGACAGGTTTAATTTCAGCCTAGTGGACAGTCTGGGGAGGATGACAGAGGTTGGTCAGGCCCCGGATAAGGTGTTGGAGGCGGCGCCATCATCTAGGCAAAATAGGAGCCGTTCTGTGGTTTTGTGTAATGTGCCACCTCTGGTCGCCTCAGGGACAGAGGGTTTGGAGAGAAGGGCTGGGTTTACCAGGAAGGAGTAACTGAGCCTGGGAGGGGCAGGGTGGGAGCTTCTGTGTCCTGAGCCAGCAATTTCTGGCTAAGAGCTGGTGAGGAAATAGCAATCTGGGTGCTCACAGCAGAGGCATGTTGACTTTGACACCAGTTCCTCACTGAACAAAGAACTGGTGTGACGGGGAAGAAACGAGCTCTGAAGCGCAGGGCCGATTCTCAGGGCTTCACAGAGTGACTGGGCCAGAGAGGCGTTGCGCGAGGCCGCTGTTGCAGGTTACACGGCCAGACTCCCAGATGCCACTCTTAACCTGTTTCAACAGAGTTCTTATGAGAGTCTCTGGCACCTGTTGGTCAAACCTCTGCTCTTGACCTTGACCCTGTGGCGTCAGGTGGAGCCACAGCCCACCTGCCCTTCCTGAGGAAGTGGCGATGTGTGGGGTTGGCAGAGTTGGAAGACCCATGGTCACCGTGAGCTTGTGGAGAAGACATGTCTTTGAGATGAGTGAAACTGAATGTCCCCTGTCCCAGTGCTGGTGTCACTGGGTGCTCCCTAGCCCGGCAGTGCCAGAGTTCCAGGCACAGGAGGGGCGTCCGAGACGTGCTGAGGCCTGTCCCTGTGCCTGCTGTCAGCCCTGGGAGGTGGTCTGGAGTTGTGCTTATCTCCCGGAAGCTTCTTAAGTCTTGGGCTGTCAGTAGTATGCACAGCGGGGTGCTCAGCAGAGCATCGCAGGCAGCTGATGACAGTGTGATAAAAAACCACATGATCTGACAGGAGAGCTGTAAGAAGAAGAAACCAACAGAACCCCCTGCAGACACGGGCAGGTGCCCCAGACAGTGGTCCCTGCGTCCCCGGCCGCGTCCTCTGTGCGCCTTCCACGCAGAGCCACTGCGGGCTCCCCGTGGCCCCGGAGCATCCTGCTGGGTGGACAGTGTCTGAGGTACCAGGCGCGTAGTCTCCCCACCCGCCTGGGGCTGGTGCTGGGCTCTCGGTGTAAATGAAAGTGGTGACGTGTGGGTCTCTCCCTGTTGGTTCACACGGGGGAGAACCACATCCTGGCGAGGTTTGGAATCCGTGCTCTTGGGCAGAGTGGGTTCTCCGTAATGAAAATACCGCACGCTCCCTCAGTCCAGGAGCCAGAGAGCAGATGGGGAGCCTGCCCGGCCTGTGGCGCGCCTTCCTCCTTGCTCGGGCACGTCAGCTGGCCTTTGCTTTCTCTCCACCGGGCCCTCCCTGGACTAGCTGCTGCCCGGCCCCCTGCTCAGCACGCGTCTCTGCCTCCGAGTTGGGTCGGGGCGCTCTCTGTACAAATTAGTCTACTTTAAGGCTGTAATTATGTTAACAGACTCACTTGTCATCCAGTGAAACCATAAACTGCTTCCATCTGCCCCTTGCAGGGAGCAGCTGAGCTTATTAGCAGCGAGCGCTGAGCAGGACGCTGGCCGTAGAAGTGAGTCCCGGCGTCCGGGAGGAGGGCTGGGGGGGCGCTCGGTGGCAGATGGGGTCTGCCCCCGCCCAGCTGCTGCTGACCTCCTTCCCTCTGTAGGGTAGGGGCAGGGAGAGGAATCTCTTTCTAGGGCCAGAAGGACACAGTGGTCCCAAAGCAGTAACTGTGGGGTGTGTGCCATGACCTGCCACCTCATGCGAAAACAATTTGAGGCTGAGCTGAACAGCTTTTTCCCTTACAATTGTAGTTTGGTCTGCAGAATTTTTATGTGGACAACAGAGAGATTCTCAGTGTGTACAGTACCTTACTTAATGATTTAAATCCTTCATTAGCTAACTAAAATCCGGGCCCCTACGACTACTCTCCAGCAGTCCATTTTTCTCAGAAGTGCTGGGTGCGACATCCAGGGGGAGGCAGGCTGGCCACTCCCAGCAGGCACGCGGGAAGGAGGCAGCCGGGGCCGCTGTGACCTGGCCCCGGGGGTTCCTTCCTGTCCGCTCTCTTGGCGAGCCCCCCTGTAGTGGAGCACGGAGGGTCTTCCCGAACTGTACAGGCCACACAGAGAACTGTTGGCATCTCCTCCTCACTCTGCGTTTTCTTCCCTACATCTGACCTGAATCCTCTTTCAGTAATAAATCCACTAGTTGTGACTTGGTGAGTTTTCTTTCCTGCTTACAGAAGTAATACTCTTGGTGAAAGGTTTGATTATTACAGAAATGCAGGCAGGGGAGCTCTCCGGTATCCCTACCTCCAGACGAAGCTGAGGATGCAGCTCAGCCGTTTGTGCCGTCACGTTACCCGTGTGGCTGTGCGACTGGCTTCTTTCAGAACATTCCGTGTGTCCGTCCTGTGTTGGTCCCTGGACGACCTTGTCCTCCCAGCTACATGGTCTCCCGTGTGTGTACTGTCAGGATCTGTGCAACCGGAAAGGGCGTTCTGTGCGGGTTTTCTCTTACCAGCAACACCATCTTTGAACAAATACCTGTGTGTCGCTGTTGGGAGAGTTTTAAAGAATGACTCCGTAGTCTGCGTCCCCCAGTAACATTTGTTCTTTTACTTTGCATTTCATTGCTTGTTCCCAGAGTTGCACCTTTGACGATGACAGGCCTGTGGCAGTCGGGGACAGAACCAGTACGAGGCGCTGCTCCCCTCCCTCCCTGCTGGAGCCCACTCGCCGCCTTATCCTTCATTAAGAGGGGAAGGAAAATAAGGAATCTGTGCAGAGTCAATTTCCCCTTTGTGGCATGACATTTTATGGGTCTCTAGGGATAAAATGTGACCGAGTGAGTCACTGGGAGGAGCAGCAGAGTGGTCGGGGAGTATCTCCTAACTCCCTGCACCCACCTCCGCTCCTCCAGCCTTCCCTGGGATTCTGCCCTTTGAGTCCTTTATACACACACGTGTGTGCATATGTATGTGTGGTAGAC